AATTCACAGTAAATTCCGTTTAGTTTTATTCAGTGAAACTTGTTCTTGTTCCATGACACCCTCTGATTTATCTATAATAGCTGATACCTTTAAAATAATTTCTAAGACCATTAGTTATAGATCTTGTTCAACAGATCCATTGATGTATTCATTTCCTTCTGGTGCTCCCTAGTGACCAAAGTTTTCTAGGTTTTCAAACTTCAAACTTTTCTTTTTTAAGATGTAAATAGTTTCCCACAGAAAGGATTCTTATAACCAGTTTTAAATAATTCAAGCCCACGTGGACTCTCAATCCACTTAAAACTTTGTGAAATCAATACTTTAATCACCCTTTTGATTTATATTCCAAAGCATGCATATATACATACATACATACATACATACATATATATAAAAATTAAGAATTGTCCTAAAGATGCGAGTTCCAGGTATAGTTATAGAAGAGGCAATAGACATCACGATCTCCGGAACGTTTAAAAGTTTAAATTTTTTTATTTTAAAACTTGTGCTAAGCTTTCGTCGGCCCCTACCGACTTCGTCAGAGTATAAAATCCCCATTGAGGAGCTGCTTGCTTTTATGTGATGCTGATCAATTTAGTCATTGCGCGTGTAACAGGCCCACACCCTTGCCTTCCCCCTGTAATTATCTTTTTTTCTGCCTTAGTCATGCTGACCAATGACGATGCACTTTCCCGTGCCTCCTTCCCCATTGTGTGTTGCTTCTTTCTCTCCCTGGGAGGTAACGCAGGGTTATCAGGCATTGCTTTGAAGGTATTTCTCCCAGCTCTCTCTCCCTCATTGTTATGCCTTTCCCTTTTAGGCGCACACGTTGCCTCCTCTAAACCCATTTGTTTTACCCATGATCTTGTGATGGGTCTGCGTTGTTCTTATCCCCCCTATCTTCCTCATTCTGCTGTTTCCCTAACCTACTCTCTTGCCCTCTATCAGGGTTTATCACACCTTCATTGGGCCACTCTCCATGCCTAAAGGAGGAGATTTGTCCCCGATCTCCACTCAGTCTTAAGGAGGATCGGTCCTCCTTAAGTCTTTCCTGGTGCCGTAAAGCCTGGTATGCCGGTGGTATGTCAATATGTCTATTGAGGGAGTTGTTGTTAGAGAACCAGGCTTCTTTCAAGAGGCGCCCTCCTTTTGTTTCGTCCTTTTGTTTTGGGCAACGACTTTGGTCTCTTGGAAGTTGAACTCGTGACCATACTCCTCCATATGCATCCAAATCTGGGAACGCTGTTCCTTACGTCTGACCGCTAGTTTGTGCTCATGCACCCTCGTTTTCAGTCGTTTTGATGTTTCTCCTATGTAATGACCTGAGCAATTGAATGGAGATCATCAATTATATATATAATACTTTTTTAGTCAGGGTTTTTTCCTATGTAGCTCAAGATGTTTGTGTAGCCATAGTGGGGTGATATCTCAAATCACCACTTTCAGGCTTTATCAGACATTTTGTGTTGTCTGTTCTGAGACTTATGGGAGACTGGGATAGTACTATTTCTGTCTTATGAGACTTCTTCAGCCAGCCACACCCATATTTTATGACTCCTCCCTGTAAAGATCAAATATTTATTTTTATTTTGTTTTTTTTAATTTATAGGTTCAAATGTATATATATATATGTATATGTATATACATGTATGTATGTGTATGCAAGCTGATCGCAAAAACCTAGGTTCCTGCAGTCCACTCCTAAACACAAACAGCTTTTTGAAATACACACAGATGATCTCAAGTTCTCTCCTTTCACAAATCAGATTTCAGTCCTGTAATGTCTCCAGGGTTTCATGGGATGTCAGTTCACTATTTTCTCACCCAAAGTCTTCCCCATTATACTGTGATGCCTGGTGCATCCATTTTTGTTTAATTAGGTTTTAATTACACTTCTAGTGCCATCATGTTTAAATCAAAGTAAAAACAGAGAAGTCTCCCAAGAATTTCAAATCAAATCATCTTTTTTTTTTTGTTTGGGGGGGGGTGTTAAAGGATTCTTTCATGGAATCAGATTATTAACGGGTGTTATCTATATTTACAAACTTTAGCCTAAAAGAATGGCAGTCCAACAAGTACTGTGCTGCCTTATGATACATAGTGGTTGCATCAGTGCAGAGATGTTTGGCTGGTACTTCAGGTTGGCCCAGGAACTGAAAGATGTACGTACATATAAAGTCTTTCCAAGCATATCATATAAAATAACAAGTGAAATTGCAACAAAGATACATTTTTGCTGACAAGACATGGTGTTATAATATGTGCCCAGTTTAACTGCATGGCATGCATGGCATGACAATGTAATAAAGAGGCATGTGGTACAGCAACATCAGTGCATTTTTTAAAAAATGTATATGGTTTTAATGCTAATATACATCTGCTACAGTAGCATTCTTACAATCATTACAGTACTGTAATAGCAAGATAATAATCTGGATGTTTGTGCAGTCAATTCAGGCTGGGTAATAAATGAAAACTTATTTTTTCCTTACATCTGATTCATTAGCTGGTTAAACATTTTAAGTAAATTATGCTTCACATGGCTCCAGCTCTGTAAACGGCATGACTTTGCCCACCTCTGTAAAATTACCAGGGGTTTTTAAATGTTAGCTATCAAGAAAGAAACAAACAGTTGTCTTGCTTCACACATCAAAGCCATTTATTGAAAGTATCTTAAGCAATGGCTAACTGGATGTTTTTGTGAGATAAACTGCAAATGCCATCCTTGCTTCGTCCCCTCACCCCATCCCCCGATACTTGTTTCCATATTGTCTCTGAAAATTTGGGTTCCATGCAGCTGTCAAGGATAACAGTTAATAGATTTTTTTAATTGAAGTAACTAATCTAAAACAACAACATGACATTTCAGTAGATTTGAACTGCCAAGCAGCATTACAAAACAGTAGGAGTCTTACAAAGGAACACTGTGGCTTTATTCATTTAAAAGAGAAATGGTATGTAAATATATTATATAAATGTTAAATGTCACTGGATTTCATCACAGAGGAGCAACTGCAGAGGGTCTAGCTTTGTTTATAAAGTTCTTGTAAAATTAGATGAGATATATATTTCTTCCTTTAACCTCTAACCATCTCATTTATAAATCACATATTTTTATACTTTTCTTTTGAACTGTGGTGACATTTGACTATAAGATAGTCCTATATAACCATTGTTTAGCAAACATTCAAAATTACAATGGCACTGAAAAAAATGCCTTTTGACTGATCCTTGTACTTATAACCCTGTAGTTATAACCCTGTAGCATCCCTGTGGTCATTGCAAAGGTGCTTTTTCAAGAGGCAGCTGACTTTGGGACAACCATGACCTGGATGACTGAGACTCTCCATAGACATCCCTGTGGTCAGGTGATCAAAATTCAAGCATTTGGTAATCAGCATGTGTTTACAATTTTTTTTTTGCTTTTGCTTTAATTTATATGCTGCCCTTCTCCGGAGACTCAGGGCGGCTTACAATGCGTTAAGCAATAGCCTTCATACTTTTGTATATTTATACAAAGTCAGCTTATTGCCCCAAAAATCTGGGTAAATTACCTACCTTTGAAAGGATGGAAGGCTGAGTCAACCTTGAGCCTGGTGAGATTTGAACTTGCAGTAATTGCAAGCAGCAGATGTTAATAACAGTGCTTTAGTCCACTGTACTACAGGCTCTTCTTCAGTTGTACTGTCCCAGGGTCCCGTGGCAACCCCCCCCCCCTTGGGATTTTTTAACTTTATTAGCATTCATGTTGGGGGAGGATCTATTTTTTATTTAATATACTACTAGTGAATTGATTACTACTATTAATTTTTATAATATGTTTTGTGTTGTTGGTTTTACCTGCCCAAAAGATTTTGAATTTGGGTTAGCAATAAAAACCTTTATAAATTTCAAACTATCTAAAATAACTTAATTATTACCATCAACACTATCAAATAGTTTGAAATAACAATCATCTTTCAATTTATAACTAAGGCATTGCTTATTAATTTTGATAGTGAATAAAGACATTTTGATTTCAGATTATTTGTTCACTAAACACAAAAGATTTTCTGGTGATCCCTGATGATTAACATTGGATAAAGTAACAGATATAAAAAGGAAGTTCTTTTTCCAGGAAGCGAAAATTTGCCAAAGAGAGAAGACACAACTGCTTGGGAGACCATAGAACATATATGTTCAATATATGTTTTAATATACATTGAATATACATATAGTCCTTGCTTAGCGATCATTTGTTCAGCAAGATTGAAATTAGGGTGATGTTGAAGGAATGGTAGTTACACCTCGCAAGAAAGCTGTACATGATTAGCCTGGATATGCCTTGTAAGCAACAGGAGGAAGATGGCAAAATCAGCTGGGGGTAGGAGGGCAGCAGGCTCTCTAAAGTACAGAGAGGCAGGGCAAGTGGAGTGCAGGGTGACCAGAGTGCAGGATGGCAGGGTGACCAAAGCCCACAACTGGCAGAGGCTGCAGAGTGCAGGGTGACCAAAAGGGCAGAAATGGGAGGTTGATGGGGGGGTTAGGGTTAGGGTTAGGGAATTAAAGAGGATATGATCCTTTACCTTACTAAGGCTTGGGACTGGGAGTTGCCTAACGACTGGGGAGAGTCCCATGATTGCTGTCGCTAAGCAATGTAGACATATGACTTTCCATGAACTAGAGATGAAAGTTCCAGTTCCAATTACTGTCATAACTAAGATCAACCTGTGTATATCTTTAATGTATAGAAGAGAATCAATTTTACTATATAATAGTCAGTTTGGTAATTGTTAAAACACCAGGCTAGAAACCAGGAGACCAAAAGTTCTAATCCTGTCTTAAATATGAAGCCAGCTGGGTGAACTTGAGTCAGTCACTCTCTCTCAACCCCGTAGGAAGAAAGTAATGACAGACCACTTCTGAAATCTTGCCAAGAAATTACAGAGTTTTGCCCAGGCAATCACCAAAAGACACACGCTCTGAAAGCTTTTTTTAAAAAGTGACATATAAGGACTCACAGTTCTTTGACCATCTGTGTTGACAATTCAGTCTTTACTGCTGGTGTGTAGGAATAAGCTCAAATATCTCTTAAGTGAGGGAACATACAATGCCTTCATAGGTCATTCTTGACATTCCAGGGCTCTGTGCTGTTAGAAACAGATTTCATATTTAAATTGAGTTCTCCAGTAAAACTCTGGAGCATTAGCCAACTGCACTGATTTAAAATAGCAGAATCAAGTTTTTTCCTGTCACACCAAGTTTGATATAGAACTCAAAAAACCAAATTAACAGAATGACCTTTCTTCACATCGCAATGAAATGACTAAGCTGAAGAAGGAAAAGCAAAATCACTTTCCTCTCATTATTATTTTATAGAACTCTAGATTGTAAGGCATCTTATAAGTCTTCTGGTCCTACCCCCGCCCCCCTCTCAGGATATGAGTCCATTATACCCAACAGGTGACCATCTAGATCAGAGGTCACCAACCGGTGGACCGTGGACCACTGGTGGTCTGCAAGAAAATTTTTATGGTCTGTAGTTCACCCAGGTGGAGTAGCTGCTCCAGGATGACCAATGGCTCTTGTGACTAGAGCTCAGAAATATGGGACCGGCCAGGCATCTCATGGTGGGGCTGGAAATCTCCGCCGTAGAGGGAGGTACGTGCAACTTGCAATTTTGCAGGAGGGCAATGTGCAAGGAGTAGCACAACCCTCGCCTTCTGGAATGAGGTAATGGTGCTGTTGCAGCAAGGAGGACGGTTGCGGTGCAGGCGGGTCAAAGCAATAGGTATCAGCAATCTGCAGCTCTTTCATCCCCCTCTGTGGCAGAGAGAGAGAATAAGAAATCTCAGAGATTTGTTTTCTGTGGGAAACGGGTCCAAATGGCTCTTTGAGTGTTTAAGGTTGCAGAACCAGGCGGCTAAGTTAAGTGCCTGAAGGACCCCATCCCGTCACTGGGAGTCCAGGCGCTTCAGCGAGTGGCGTGCTGGATTCATATTAGTGGTCCATGGGATTTAAAATTAGTGGTCCCTCAGGTCTGAAAGGTTGGTGACCCCTGATTTAGATTCCATTTGAAAACTTCAGGGAGGGAAGCTGTTAGGTAGCTGTTCCACTGCTTGTTGGATTCCTTTTAATATTCAGTTTGACTGTCTTTTGTTTTAATTTAGCCCCACCGGGCTTTATTTTCAACAGACAAGAGGCCCACTTCCTTTTGCATGTAACAGCCTTTTAAATATTGTATAGGTAAAGCAGTATCCTATTTCTTTTGCTTTTCTTTTTCTAGCTAAACATCTTATTTCCCTTAGCTGCTCCTCGCAATAGGTTTTCCAAATCCTTATCCTATTGAGTAGCTTTCCTCTGAATCTGCTCTAGCTTCTCCACGTCCCATATGGAATACAGCGCATAGAAAAATTATTACCTTGCATGGAGTGAACACAGGGCTTTTATGAATGTAGCCTGGACTTTGTGGAAAACTTTACTGAGATAGAAGTACATCACATCCAAAACATGTCCTTTATCAAGACAATGTGAGTCCGACCTGATAACTAGTCTTCGTTAATGTTGATGTTGATAAACCTATGCTGGATTCAGATAATGGTAGCATAATATATTTCAATACTTTGCTCGGGTTAGATGTTAAATTGGTAAGTTATTGGGTCCTTTTTAATACAAATATATTTTGGGACCGTGTTTGCTATTCTCCATTCTTCTGACATCCCATTTGTTCTCCAGTGGTTCTCAAAAATTACATTAGTAGTTTCCAGACCTTATCTGCCAGCACCTTTAACACCTTAAGATATAATTCATCTGTCACTGGAGACTTCAATTACTTTAAAGTAGTAAAATGGATTCTTGCTGTATTCTTAACAATCCTGAACTAGGTTAGTGTCAGCCCTTGGAGACAAGCAAGATTAAAAAACAGACTTGGCAGGGATTCTGTGGATGCTCTTTATAGTCATAAAACAGACTAACAACACTATAAGGTAGTCTAACAACATAACAAACTAACCGCCTCTTTCACTCTTACTTTATTTCAAATGTATCCCCAACCCCATATATTATGGTTTCCATGCCTTATTATCTCATTCTAAGTTTTGCCATTCCTGACTCCTTTCCTATAGGGTTTGAGCTACCAATTCGTATTTCTCCTTATTTATTAATCATTTTCCATTGTTTCTATACCTTTCCTTTTTCTTCGCAGCTTGTCAGTGTATTCACTCTTCATCCCTGCAGAATTGGTAGTTCCTTTAATTGTTCTGTAAGATTGGATAGAATTACTTCAAGTATATGGTGCATGACTTCCACGTTCAGAGCCTTAAGTGGTTGGTCAATTTCTGTTGCATGGGCCATCTCCTTGTTTATTTATACTGCATACCTGCAAATATTCACCACTCTCTTTGGAAATTTTTTTCCTTGGCATCCTCTTTCTCCTGCCTCTGTTACTGGACAATTTTTTGTGCTCGTTCTCTTTTTACTGACTTCGATACAGACCTCTTTGTGTAGTACCTACATCTGCTTTCCTTTCCTTTTCTTGTTGAGCCTTAAAAATTCCTCCCACCTTGTCCTCCAGCAAGGAGATAACCTTGCATTTGCACTTATAAGATAAATAATTTGTTTTCGTATAGTATTGCCTTTCAATAGGCAAGTAACCCCAGAAAAAGAATTAGAATGAGCTATAATGTATGCTTTACAACTTAGTCAAACGTTTGAAAGCCTCAACCTATTGACAGTGTTGTTTATAAAAGAACACTATTCTTCAATTGTGTGATAAAATGTAATTCTCAGTAAGCTGCATTTCCAATTATTTTCCATTTTATGCATGATTACTCAGATAATTGTGCATGGGATTACAACATTGAAATGGAGCCTGCTTGTATCTATTCAAAAACAAGCCCAACTAAGCTCAGTGATTTAGGATTGTGCCTTACAATCCTAGACCTGATTCACTCATAGTGTTTTGTTATAAAATTGTTTGTTTGGTTTGGACATGTGTATCTTGTGAACCTAACTACCGGTACTTAGGTTGACAGAAAAGTGGTGTTTGAATTATCTAGTTCTATATGTTTCAATAAACCATGCATTAATCTATTACTGTAGGTTGTCTGTACTTTTTTAATAGAATTTAAAAAACAATAGATTAGGGTTAATCAGTTTTATTTGTAAACAAACATACTCTATGAATGAAGGCAAATATACATGTCCCAGGACAATGTTGCAGGATCCAATCTGGGTCAGTCACTGGGAATAGAGGTTTTGTCTTCCGAGCTTTCAGACTTGTGCTGGAACCCATCTTCAGGGAACTTCTCTCTTACCAGAATATGTCTCACATTGTCATAATGTTTCACATTCTGGTAAGAGAGAACCCTGAAGAAGGGCATGAGTCCGAAAGCTTGGAAGACTAAATCCAGTTCCGGTGAACGATCCAGCTTGGATCCTGCATACTCTCCCTGTTTCTGTTTCATTATTAGGTATTTGTACAAACAGATACCCATGCCATATTTTCCCTCTGTTCAAGAGACCTTTTAACTATGATCTTATTATCTTTTCCCAAGATATGTATTCAAATCCATTAATGTATTGCATGTCCTGGAAATCCAGGCATTTCTAGGCTTAGAGTCAGGATGTAAAATGGTAAATGGAAAGTAGTGAGACGCCATTTTATCTTTTTATATCTTTACTTTTGCTTAGGCATTATGTATTGTCTAGATCTGGAAGTGAGGATAAAAGTGAAGTCAGCTGTCTTGAACTCAACTACCTGCAAAAAAATTGGGCTGGATCCATCCCTCTCTTGTCGATTTCTTTTTGTGTGAATGGGGAGATGTGAAACACAAACAAAGAGAAGATGGGGAAATCAAAAACTTCACCTGCATTCTCTCTGCAGAAACTTTCACCTTGATCAGGGCATTGTATATATGTTTTGTAATTCATGTATTAGGGAAACAACAAATACTATCAGAAATAGAAGTAGTTGCTTTTGATTTAATTGAGGCAACACCTGGTTTCTCTGATCATATTGTTTCATATTAGCTAGTTTCCAAAAGGTAGAAATGCTTAATAAGACAAGGCGAATCCTATGAACACACCTTCTAAATCACCTCTCTTGTCTTTAAACCAGCTTTCTCTATATTTCAGACAGCTCAGACTAAGCCCATTCTCCTCTTTATTGATTGGATCACTCTATTCCTTTCTTCAGACCCTTGCTTGAGTCTCCCGAGATAGAATAATGTGTTTTTCGAATACTGATCTTGCTGCCTGCTATGATCTGTTTTAGTGATTTTTATCCACACAAAAGCTTTTAAGGGCCATAAATGAAAATTGTAAAAGTAGCTGACCTTCACAATAAATGTTTTTTACACTAAATGCAGGGGTGAAATGCTCCTGGTTCAGACCGATCCGGTAGTGATGGAGGCGGGTGGTTCAGAGATCCGGTAGCAAAAATTCCTGCCCCCCCCATTGCCCAGCTGAGCCGCACAATCATCAGAGGCTTTTTTTTTTTACTTTTAAAAGCATTTTTTCTATAACCATCGTCAAAGGCTTTTAAAAGAAAAAAAACCCTTTTTTTCTTTTAAATGCCTCTGACGATCCAAGCTGAATTTTTTAAAAAGCTTCTGCCGATCAGGCAACTCAGCTGAGTTCATCAGAGCCTTTTGAAAGCATCCCATCGCCGAAGAGGTTGTAGAAAAAATGGTTTTAAAAGTAAAAAAAAAAAAATGGCCACACCCACCCAGTCACATTCCTCCCCCCCCCCCCAGCCACACCCACAGAACCGGTAGTAACAAATTTTAGATTTCACCACTGACTTAATGGCTTGAGAACTCTAAAGACAGAATATTCATCAAATAAATTAATCAAACATATTTGAATTATCCATTTATTTTAATTTATACACTGAAATGTTGAAATTACCTAGAACTGAACAACAGTGAGTTGGGCAGTTACTTCCTTGTAGTCATTATTGAGATTTTAACTGCAGTCACAATTAGCTATAATGGCTGAGACTTATGGGATATAGAATAAAAAAACAACTGAATAGTATCTCGGTAACAAGGAATGTCTTGTATGTTGTTCTGCTTTCTAGAGAAAACTTTCACATATTTAGTATTTCAAAAACCTTAGAAAACCAGTCTGTAATACTCTGTAATAATAA